CCCCCCCCCCCTGCGCGCCACAGAGCTCGCCGCGGCCCTTCCCCCTCTATGCCCAGCGCCGCTCAAGGCCACACTTCCCCCTCCATACACACCGGCGCCCGCCGCGGCTGGATTCCCCCCACGGTTCGACTTACCCCTCGAGCACCAAAGGCTTAGAACGTTACCCATATACCTACTTCTTCAGAATGCTAGGAAGGGGGTACGTATCGGGTACAGATTTTTCATTGAGCGCGCGAAAATCCATGACCATCCTCCAACGCTTGTTACTCTCGGCATCGGGTCTTTTTGGAACAACCCAGAGGGGACTTTTGTAAGGAGATTTTGACGGGACGACTATATCTTGCTCTAAAAGTTCTCTCATTTGCTTGTTAATTTCTTCACGTTGTATAGGTGGGTACCTACATTGTTTCACGTGAAGTGGTGCTTGGTCGCTTATGATTCTATGTTGTACGGCGTCGGTTTTCCCGAGGCTCTCTTCAGGGAGGTGAAAGAGGTCTTGATTATTTTGAATTAATTTTCGGACGTGCCTGCGTTCTACCTCACCGAGGTAATCCGTGCTAATAATGCCGTTAACCTCCTCGCAGCATGCGACGATTGATTTAGAGTTGAGGTTAAAAATTGAGTTCGATTTGGTAGAATTGTTTGACTTTGATTTAGAATCAGCAAAAAAAAAAATTTTTTTTACGATTTCCGATGTCGGATACCTCTTCTACCTCCACAAACTCCATAGTCGGCATGGGTAAGATAGATCGGTTCGTTGGTGGTATTCGCGCATCGGATAAACGCTTGTCCGCCGAAGTTTTTTACGAGACAGTGGAGTCTTGCTCCTCGCGGGCCGGTTTCGTAAGAAGGGGTTGCATGGTTCGCGAGAAATCGCGCGGCCATTATCGATCCCGGGATATTATTCCGGACTGTGCTATTCGTTTCTATTAAACTGCTGTGAATTGATTGTAGTCTTTCTAGTTCTTCGCGGAGCGCGGCGTTTTCTTGCCTGCACGTTTCGTGCTGCCGAAGGAGGCCTTCTTGCGCGGTGCTGTATTTGATCGTTAATTTCTCGCGTTTCTCTTCTAGTTTCGCGACTTGGTGAACTAGTTTACTTTCTTTGAGACCTAACTGCGTTTCTAAATCGGTTAATTGTTCCGGAGTTTTGTGAGAGCGTGTGTTTCCTGCGGGCGTCGCCGTCATGACTCGTTTGCGACGTATCCCACCGCTGCTACCAATTTGTTACGTCCCGCGGGTTAAGGGCGCGAAAAAAATATATTTCCGCGAACCACTACGGGTTTGGACGTTATTGTCACAACTTTAGTACACGCGTTGCGTTACGTTCGCGTATTACAGGGCGGGTCACGAATAACGCGCGCACGTCAGGTTAACAAATCTGTTCTTACGCTTCGTCGAACGTTGCGCTCTGGATTCGATAGATCGTTGGGTCTCTGCTGCTTTGGCTGCAATCCTGCAGTTGGCCTTGATGTACCCTTGTCGTCGTGGGTCGGATTCTGGGATGTTGTCCACGGGGTACAGCTTCTCCTTGATGAACTGGCGATACGGCTTCGGATAGGACGGTTCTTGCTGTTGCAGTGAAACTCGGTATTCGCGTGTCAAAGACGAGACTTCGCGGTAGATCAAACTGCCCGCTTCCGCGTTTACCATAATCGTATGCGTTATTATTTTGACATCTTTCTATTGATAACGTACGCATGGCTTATAAGGCCCGTCGAGGAGCTCGCGATCCAATTTTCGTAATTGGAATTTACGGCCCGCGTGCTTTGGCATCTAGTCCAGCTTATGCATTCGTGATTTTATGCAATTTCTATTCCTCTACGACTTCTCTGAGACGTGCAGAATATTCAGGGCAAGTTCAGGAGGTACGAATTCGAAACAAGGCTCTAATAAAATTGAGAATGCTGGGTTTCGATAGTTATTCTATCATGAACTAGGTTAAATGTACTTGAGACTTGATGTAGAGTAAAATAAAATATATTCTAAGATAAAGTTAAGGTTACAACTTGGTTACAATTAGACGCGACAAGTAGTAGATTTGGAATTGAGACTGAGTGACCGAAAGCCTGACATCTGTAGCACTGAGTGTGCTTAGTCCTGGACATGTACTTGTGCCAGTATACTCTGTTCAGGAATAGGAATTTGATTGTATAGATATCCTGAATTGAAGTGACCTTGATGAAGTAGCAGGTTGTGGGAGTGATGCCTTGCAGGGAAATTTGCTGTATTATTTTCTTAAGAGTACAGTTTGGGAGGCCTTTGAGGACCTTGGGCAATGCTCTTTCATTCTTGCTGGTAAAAGTGTAGAAGGGGATGTTTTATGCTTGAAGACTTTAGTGTTTGAAAGTTGAATACGGACGTTATCTTTGTTATATTTATAAAACATATACAGTAAGACCCCGCTTAACGCGGGAGATACGTTCCAAAATAAGTTCCAGCGCTAAACGAAACAGCGTTAAACGAGGCAACCTAACACGTACATATGTAAATATGTAATGGGGATCAGTGAAAAAGAACAGAGAATAAGGAAATTTATCAGTTCTTTTTTTGTTTTATATCTTTTGTAACATTTGTTGTTAAATACTTTTTAATACATTGAGTATAGGCTTATTTATTGCTAATATCGATTTTTATTCATAAAACATTCATGAAGATAAAAAAAAGTTCGAATAAGGATCTCATGTTTATGACGAGGAAGGTTCTTCTTCATTTGATATTCTTTGTTTTTTTGTGAGGAAATCATCTAAAATCGTCTGTCTTTTCCTGTTTCGTTCAGCAAGCAGTTGTCGATAACAAGATACCGCATCAATGACACTTCGTCTTGCCTTTGAACTTCTATCAAAATTTAAATCATTTTTTACAAATTGATACATAATAGAAAATCCATTAGAAAATCCATTGAGAGTTCTCTTTGCTCCTCATCTTCAGAAACGCTAACTTCGTCGTCTTCGTGCACTTGTTGTTCTATCAATTCTTTAAGACCGTCGTTGAAAAGACTTTTACCAGTTGTAACTTGTAATTCTTCAATATCCTGCGCATTCATATTGTTACGGCGACTTGTCCAAATCAAGTCGCTGTAATGTGAAACTGCCCTGTTGTGAGCAACTCCTTAAAGAAAAATAGAAGAGAGGGGTTG